CAGTTAATTAAAGTCAGGTACCAGCCCATTGAGGACTAGACTAAGAAAGCCTTGAAGTGTTGTTTGAACCAATGAAGATTTGTTGTTTGTTCCATAATAAAGACTTTGTTGTATCATCAAAGACTCTAAAGACCATTATATCAGAAAAATCCCTGAGAACTTGGCTTCCCACTGTGTTCAAAGTATACGTCCTATAGAAAAGACAGCAGTTACAGGCCCAGTGCGCGACAGAACAGATAAAAAAACATTAAACAATATAAAACATCACAAAAGCAATAAAAACAACATCATCAGCGTCTCATGATTCTCAAGCATTGTCCAATTCCATTGTCAGGTCATTTGATTTCCTATATTAGCTACTCTGTATTTGTAAACACTTGCTCAAATAGCCACGTTTTAACTTGCCTCTGAAACGTCAAGAGGGAGGGAGCAGATCTGATCACCTAGGGAGGGCGTTCCATAGCCGAGGGGCCACCACTGAGAAGGCCCTGTCTCTCGTCCCTGCCAAACGTGCTTGTGACGACGGCGGGACCGAGAGCAGGTCCTCCCCAGATGATCTTAAAGTCCTCAGTGGTTCGTAAGGGGAGATACATTTTGGGGATGTTGGGGTGGGGGGAATTGATTTTGTCATTTGGGAATTATAGTTGCTGAGATTTATAGTTCACTTACAATCAGTGAGCATTCTAGATTCCACCAACGATGGAATTGAACCAAACCTGGCACACAGAACTCTCATGACCAACAGAAAATACTGGAATAATTTGGTGGGCATTGACCTTGAGCTTGGGAGTTGTAGTTCACCTACATCCAGAGAGCACTATGTACTCAAAGGATCTAGGAAAGCTTGGAGAAGGCAATTATGCTGGGGGAAATGGAAGGAAAAAGGAAGAGAGGCCGACTAAGGGCAAGATGGATGGATAGTATCTGTTCTGTTGCGCACTGGGCCTGTAAAAAGTTTCCTTTAGAACAGGACGTGCAACCTTTGCCCAGCAGGAAGCCCAAAGAGAAGTTCTCAGAGGTTTTCCTCCACAAATAGTCTTTAGATGGCTTGTGAAGTATAACAAAGTCTTATATTAATGAACAATCAAACAGAAACTTCTCTTGTCTTCAGAAAGTTAAACAAATTATTCCAGGCTTTTATGCAACTGGTAGCTTCCTAAACTTGCCCACAAAGGACAGGCAAGTGTCTTCAATAACTTCTTCTTTACTTTAAAGGAAAGTCCCCTTTTTAATGAATGTAATCTAACCCTTACTGATGTGGGCTCCGCTACCAGGTCGAACTGCTTCTCGAACGCTGAGTGGACCTACCAGTAAAGGCTTAGATGTTCTCCAGCTGGAGTTCTTTGGTCTTTAGGGCTGTTTCCCTGGAAATCTTTGGAGACTCTTAAGACTATTCTCTCCCGGAAGGTCTTGGATGCTCTTAAGACTGTTTCCCCCCGGAAAGTCTTAAGGGTTGAAGCTTTTGTACAGGGGAAGCTTGCACACGTCTTGTACATTAGCTTTCCTTGCTGAGACTAAAAATGGCTCCCTTCCCTTCCCAATTGCCCTGAGTAAGGGGCGGGACCAAAACTTAATGATGATGGACAGGTGACTTGCCCTATGACTGCAACCAAAGGAAGCCACCTATCTGCAGAGTCCCTGAAACCTAGGACTGCAAACAAACATTTAATACAAAGCAAATAAAATTGGAGCTCCTGCTACAGCCGTACCAAAACAGTATCCTTGAAGTGACTGGCTTGACCTTGAAGGAGCTGGGAGTGGTGATGGCTGACAGGGAGCTCTGGCATGGACTGGTCCATGAGGTCACTGAACAAATGGACAACAACAAATTTTCAGTGTAACCAACTCCAGGTAACAATCTAGCTGCAGCTCTTTGGCTCAATTAAGGAGATGTTGATTTAGGAATTTGTTGAGTCTATGGCTCACGTCTGAATGCAAGTTCTAATAGGATCAAGCTGTTTGCTCCATTTGTACCTGTTTCATATGAAATGATGAAAACTTGTGTTCTTCTTTTATGAGAGAGAGAGCACATAGGAGGATACAAACATGCTCCCAAACTCCAGGCATTAGTTCGCATTATACTGTAGTCATGGGAACTCTGAATCATTGTTCAAGGATTGCATCTCATGAATAATGCATCCCAAGTCATTCACTCGGATTTCCTGTACGATAGGATATTAACAATTTCCTCCACTTGGGATTCATATTTGTCCTTTTCTATATTTAACAGCAACACAAGTCTTTTATTTATTAGCTGGCACTTGCATTGAAGCACACTTGCTGATTCATTCTCTTTGTTGAACATATTCAAGCTCTCGTTACTGAGTATTCCTCCAAAAAAATAAATAAATATGGCCCCGTCTTACCATTTTTAATGAAAAGAAACCCATTAATATGCATTTCCCTGAAGGGAAATGCATATTAATAACAAAAGAAATCCTCAGAAGTAAAACAAATAAATGGCAAATTCTGAAACAGTGACATGTAAACATCTGTAATCAGGGGCGGATATGTCAAAAATGTTTACATTCCAGTTTGCTGTAGGCCCCATTGCGCTGAGTAGCATAAAAATATGGCTTTTGTGTTAGGCTTCCATTGCTTCACACTACATTTGGAAACTGTTCATGATGGAGCAATGCTTGTGTTACATTGGCAGCATGAGGCCAAACAAAACTCAAGTAGATCCAATTTAGCCCGGGTCGGAGTGAGCTTCCGACCAATTTGTATAGCTTGCTGTCGACCTTTGCAGCCTGAAATATAGTTGCATCTGTCAAGTAGGAAATTTAGGTACCACGTATGCAGGAGGCTAATTTAACTAATATATGATGCTATAAAAAATCTCCAGCAAGCATGCAAAGAATTAGGAAGTACATCAGTGTCACAAGTGGACGGTGAAGTGACAGTTCCCCTGGTGGCCAGAATACACTCATCAAAAAGCTGGAATGTTAAGTAGCCTCTGTGTGTCTTGTTGATATATGTTGTGTGTCTACTACATTGAATGTCTGCCATGTAGATGTACATTCTAATCCGCCCCGAGTCCCCTGCGGGGTGAGAAGGACGGAATATAAATACTGTAAATAAATAAATAAATTCAGACATCACATTGAAACCTGGTTTGTGTGTGTGATGGAAGGGTGAATTTTAACCTACAGTTATGTATAATTATAGATGGGTGTTTATAAGGGTAAGTATTTAAAATAGCATACCGGGGGAGGGTAGCCAGCTCAGCTCACTCTGAGCTGGGTTGCCATGGAAAAGGGGTGGAGCCAACTGCCACTTGGCAGGGCAGGCATTTTAAAACAGCCAGTCTGTAGTCTGAGAACTGCAGGAAAGGCTGGTTCTACAGTGTTGAGAATCAGGGAAGCAGTCTGTAGTTAAAGAACTACAGGGAAAGGCTACTGTGTTGAGAACCAGGAAGGTTCAGGCTTTTCGCCTGTGTGGTTTAGATAGGTCAAGTTGACTTATTTAGATTAGTAGTTAGTGTATGAGCAAAAAGGGGGAGAGAACCCCAGTAAGCATCTTTACTGCAACAGAAATAACATAGGGAAAGAATAAGCTGGTACCTGAAGTGAACTGTTAAGGAAAGAAACTCAATTTGAAGAAAAATAAGTTTAAAACCTGTATAGTGAAAGGAACAGTCCTCTCAAGAGTTGTTTTATGAAATGTTATAAATGCAACCTCTAAAGAAATGTGCCTCTAGGAGTTAAGAAACATTGAAACCATTAAGCTTCTTCTATACTTCAATAAACTTGTTACAGTTTCTCTTCAAGCCAGATCTCTGTTATGAATACTTTCAAGTCAAGCCGCGCTACACATTAAAGAAAGCCCAACAAAATATTATAAGCTATTAGCTGTGTTATCAATTTTATAAATCCATTACAAATAGTAGGAGACCCTGATAAATCAGTGATGGCCCTACTGCTTATGGTGTTGTCTTTATAAAGTGGTAGTGTCGTTACAAAGTGGTGGCTTCTTTGCAGTGTGAAATGTAGTTTGGTTCTCAAAGTGTGGTTTGAACGTTTAGACAAACCACACTTTTAGACAGGCAAAATTATAATTTGGAACATCTAAATGCCATGCCTTCTAATTCCCAAAATGGCATGGACATTTCCTTTGAAATAATTTTTATTTGTAAGCATATTTATTCAGTATCATAAAAAACAGAGGGAATGTGGGAGGAAGAAGGGAATTAATTAATTAAATCTGGGGCCACTATCAACTAAGGGGGAATCTTTCTATAAAATTAAAAATAGAAAAAGTTAAGAGAAAAAAAACCCAAAAACTATACTGGAAATGTAAGCTTAAAGGTAAAATTAGGGGATTTTCCTTATTTTGGTGGCGTAGCGGGTTAAACTGTTGAGCTGCTGAATTTGCTGACCAAAAGGTTGACGGTTTGAAACCGGGGAGTGGAGTGAGCTCCCGCTGTTAACCCCAGCTTCTGTCAACCTAGCAGTGCAAATATGAGATCAATAGGTACCGCTCCGGCAGGAAGGTAACGGCGCTCCATGCAGTCATGCCAGCCACATGACCAAGGAGGAGTCTATGGACAACGCCGGTTCTTCAGCTTAGAAATGGAGATGAGCACCATCACCCTAGAGTTCGACACAACTAAAGTTAATGTCAGGGGAAAACATTCACCTTTACCTATTATTATTATTATTATTATTATTATTATTATTATTATTATTAACAACAGCACTCTATGCAGGCAGGCCACATGACCTTGGAGGAGTCTATGGACAACGCTGGCTCTTTGGCTTGGAAATGGAGATGAGCACCACCCCCCAGAGTCGGACATGACTAGACTTAATGTCAGGGGAAAACCTTTACCTTTACTTTACTAATTCTGCATTCCTTATTTATTGCAGCCCATAAGGAGATAACTTTGACAATTATATGTTTATCTCATTTTGTTTTAGATTCATGCTTGGATGTTTCAAAATGTTTTGCTATTGCCACACTGACACAAAACCCCCATGTTCCAATCAATGTAACACATGTTTCAAGCTTTTGACTTTATTTGTCCTGAAGAATGTAAGAAAAACATTTTCATTAATCCAGATGCAGAAAAAGGTGGCTGCTTTGGAAGGCTTTGATTCTGACAATTTTCATAGTGGAATGTTGTGACTTTTTATCTTTATGGCAAATTTTGTAGAGCTGCTCCAGTAAACGGGTTGGTTTTTATTCACATGGATTCTGGATTACAATCAGAAGATACTCCTTATCTGTGTGAAAAAAGGTAACAAACAATGGAAACTATGAGAAATTCTTACAAGTGGTCCAGTCTCACTTCTTCTTCATTTCTACAGTGACACTATTAATAGCATTAGAAAATCCTTCCATGATCTCGTTTCATATTTACATATAAGCACCCATTTGCTTATATACCATATATACTTGAGTATAAGCCGAGTTTTCAGTTCTTTTTTAAGGCTAAAAAAGTCCCACTCATCTTATACTTGAGTCTGTTATTTATTTATTATTATTATTATTGACACAAAAGCACAGTATGCCACAGCAAACAAGATCTATATGCTGGATTTCGTATCACAAAATCACAAGTCGAACACTTCCCAAGTGTCTAGGAATTATTATTCTTATTATTATTATTACATTTATTATTTTTACATTTATATTATTTTACTCTATTATTATAATATTTATTATTTTACTCTATTACATTACTATATTTTTCTCTATTTATTCTTAGTACATTTATTATTTTACTCTATTTATTATTGTTACATTTACATTATTTTACTCAATTATTATTACATTACCATATTTTTCTCTATTTATTATTATTACATTTATTAGTGCAAGATGCAGAAATCAGACTACATACATAGCATTATTCCCACAAGAACTACACTCATGTCCAATTTACCTCTCAGCTCAATTCAACTTTACGTATAGCACCCATTAACTTATATACCATATATACTCAAGTATAAGCCGAGTTTTATTTCAGTCTTTTTTAAGGCTGAAAAAGGCCAACATACTTGAGTCTGTTGTTGTTGTTATTATTATTACATTTATTATTTTACTCTATTTATTATTACATTTATATTATTTTACTCTATTATTATATTTATTATTTTACTCTATTATTACTACTACTACATTTAATATTTTACTCTCTTATTACTGTTATTTACATTACATTACTGTTATTTACATTACATTTACATTATTTTATTCTATTATTATTACTTTTATTATTTTACTCTCTTTATTATTATTGGAAGGATACATAAGCACATTTACACTGAAGAAGGTTAGAATAATAGTTTAATCTGAATTGGACAATCTTATTTTAAATTAGTTTTATGTAAATATTCAAAAACATTGAACCTACTGATGACTCCATTAATGTAATTTTATTGGCCAACAGCATCAGACCAATAGCTATTCTATCCAAACCAGAATTTGCTTTCTATTGGATTATTGGATCTACAAATAGTTAAATACAACCATCAGCTATATGTTACATTATAGAGAAAGGTATCTTTCGACAACTGAGGGATCTGATGGTGAGCACATCCTTTATGCCCTCTTAATTCTTTGAGAGAGATGTATTTGGGGCAGTTTTGGAAAAGCAGCATTAGCTTTTGGGTGGAATATGGAGACTTATTACCTGGTGCTACCATGATTTCATGTTTCTTTGATCTAATTCTCAGAAAGGTCAGATCGTTCTGGGGGTCGATGTCTCTCACTGTACTCTTTGCTTTCATTGTGAGTTGGTGAAGGAGGCCTGCATATTGTACTGTAGTGGAGTTGTCAAGAGTTGTCCTGATAGGAATGCCTACAAAAGGAGATTTCCAATTCAATAGTATAAAGGCAAATTAAAATGACATGCATTAATGTTTTTAAAGTACAGCCCACACAAAAAAAGACTGAAGAATGAGCATGGGTCATTTGCATGTGGACATTTTCGATGGCTGTATTATATTTTTCTACAAATTCTTGTACAGATCTGCACAATATACATCTTTGCTTATTTATATAATTTTATACTCCATCTTTCTTTTGCTACGGCATTCAAGGCAGCTCCAGCTGTACAGTGCTACATGAATTTATGAAGGTATTGTCAATAGCACCAAATTATTCATACATCCAGTCCAGAACTTCCTGTTTTGATTAATACACAATAGCTCTACATGCCTATCTGAATCCATCTAGGTAAATTTTTTTGCTAGATTCACTGGGTCTTGAGCCTGGGAACATTCTGTGTATAAAACATGCACTGAATGCACTAAGAGAAATTCCCCACCAAACATCTCACCTAATATTTTTTTCTACACTACAGTGTTTTCAATGGCAAATACTACAAGTAATTGTGCACTTCTACCATTTCCCAGAAATTCCTGTATGCATACATATAATAGCTGCAGAGTAGACACTTGGGGGAGGGTTGTGTTCATTCAGAATGAAAACAGAAACATGAAAACTATAGCATTAGGAAAAAACCTAATGTCACTAAGGCTGGATCTACACTGCCATCTAATCCATATTACCAAAGAAGGTAATCCGGATTATCTGATTTGAACTGGATTATGACTCTACACTGCCATATCATCCAGTTCAAATCAGATAATCTGGATTTTATATAGCAGCATGGACGGGGGCCTTAGAATCCACCCTAAGAATAACAAGTCTGGATCTATACTGCCATACAATCCAGATTATCAACCAAATAATCCAGATTATCTGCTTTGAATTGGATTATATGAATCTACACTGCCACATAATCCAGTTCAAAGTGGATAATCTAGATTTTACGTAGCAGTGTATGTTATGCAGTGCGTGTTTTATTCCAGTGTCCTAAAGCCCAAAACCCAGATGCAAAACAGTCTCAGACCAATAGCCAAGGTAAACAGAAAATCTTTACTTTCTTAACTTTGCAGAGATGAAACAAAACTGGCAATGCAGCACAAAAAAAATCAGCAGTGCCACATATTTACACAGTCTTTGTAATATGCATAAAATAAAGCACCTTCTAAGCAGCAAATGAAAAATCAAAACAACCTGAAGTAAATAGCTATTTCACCATCAGCATCTCCTGCTGCTATTCCACACTGGTGAAACAGAACTCCAGCAGCAGCCCACCAGAAAACCAGCATCCACCAGAAAACCAGCACCCACCACAACGTATTCAAAAAACACATACAGTTATAGCCCCTTGGGCATGGCACAAGATTGCTGCTTGATCTACTTAGCCAGATGAACAAGATAATTACAAGTAATAAAGTTTTTCTTCACACATATACTTGTGTCCTGCAAGAACTTACCGTAACAGTGTAGATGGGGCCTTAATCCAAGATGCCAGGAGGGCATAGCAGTGTTTTCATAGAATCATAGAATCAAAGAGTTGGAAGAGACCTCATGGGCCATCCAGTCCAACCCCCTGCCAAGAAGCAGGAATATTGCATTCAAATCACCCCTGACAAATGGCCATCCAGCCTCTGCTTAAAAGCTTCCAAAGAAGGCGCCTCCACCGCAGAGTTTTGATGTTTAAGGCCCCTTCTACATCTATATAAATAAAATAAAAATGTAATGTTTGTTTGTGGGATTAACAAATTGACACCAAATTTGGACACAATACACCTATTAGGCCAACGAGTGACCATCTATATAAATAAAAATGTAATGTTCGTTTGTGTCCTTCACTAAAAAAAAATGATTTTGTCATTTGGGAGTTGTAGTTGCTGGGATTTATAGTTCACCTACAATCAAAGAGCATTCTGAACCCCACCAACGATGGAATTGAACCAAACTTGGTACACAGTTCTCCCATGACTAAGAAAATACTGGAAGGGTTTGGTGGGCAGTGTCCTTTGGTTTTGGAGTTGTAGTTTACCTACATCTAGAGAGCACTATGGACTCAAACAATGATGGATCTGGACCAAACTTGGCACAAATACTCAATATGCCCAAATATAAACACATATGGAGTATGGGGGAAATAGACCTTGACATTTGGTAGTTGTAGTTACTGAGATTGTTCACCTACAATCAAGGAGCATTTCGAACCCCAGCAACTATGGAATTGGGCCAAACATCTCACACAGAATCCCCTTGACCAACAGAAATTACTGTGTTTTCTGGTGGTTTTTGGTGACCCTTTTGACACCCCCCTGGCGACCCCCCCCCCCCCGGGGGTCTTGACTTCCCAGATTGAAAAATTCTGTTTTAAAGCCATCCAGTCCAACTTCCTTTACCAGGGCAAGAAAACATAAAGCCCTCCTGACAAAGCCATCCAGCCATTCACACACACACATATGTATATGACAGATACAGTATCAAAGATTTGAAAGGGACCCCTAGAGAAGGACAATATGTTGCATGTTCCAGAGTAGGCAAACCAGACAATCTCCACATCAACACTGGCAAAGAAACAGCAAGAAATACTGTTTACCCACAAGCATAAAGACATTACATTACACAGGAAGACGGTAAAATTGAACATCGGAATGGCACAAGGATTATGAGAATGGATTTTGTTCTGTTATCGAGGCGTCATGAATTGATAATAATTGTTGATAATAATTTTGTTGTTGTGTATGATGTGTTTTTAACTGTTTATTGTTGTGATAACCTGCATTGTGTAAACCGCATTGAGTCGCCTAATTAGGCTGAAAAATGCGGTATAGAAATAAAGCAAATAAATAAATAAATAAATAAATAAATAAATATTAGAAACCAACACTTTCTCATTACTTTATTTTCCAGATCACCAGATTGGGCCAGAGCAACGGGTGGCAGGGGACCGCTAGTCACTCATAAAACACTGAAAAACACAGCAGAAAAGACTTAAAATGCCCCCCCCCCCCAAAAAAAACCCAACAACAACATTACAACACATGTGCAAAAACCACAGCAACAAATGGCAGGGGACGGCTAGTTGCCATATAAAATCTAATTATCTGCTTTGAACTGATTACATGGCAGTGTGGATCCAGCCTGAGAACAGCTTCTAATACAGTTTCCAGGAGATATTAGCATTAGGCCTGGGCAATGCATGGTTCTAAATGGTTCTAAAGTACTTACAAAACTAAAGTTCTGGCAGTGAAAATTTCAGAACTCTAACAAAACTTTCAAAATTTAATTATTATTTCATTATTGGCGATTTTTATGACAGAACCAATTAGGAACTGCCATTTATAATGAAATTTTGAGAGTTTTGTTAGAGTTTTGAATTTTTCACCACCAGAAGTTTAGTTTTGTAAGTACTTTAGAACCATGCATTGGCCAGGCCTAATTAGCATGCATCCATCCTGCTTAAAATGTTAAATAATGTCTACAAATGTTTGCACCAGAACGGTTAAGCAGAAGCAGGTAAAACCTATTTTTGGGGCGTAAGGGAGAGAATCCTTCTTCATAATATTTGCCTTGACAAATTTCAAAATTTTGGACAAGTGGAATAAGTACTTCCTAAAAGGATAAAGAGGCTCATACACTTGTTTATTACTGGCATCTTCAGAATGTAGCACTTATGCACCTGAAGACTGAGGAATCATACACTCAGCATAAAAAGTTTCTGAACCTTTTGCTACAGCAGAGAGATGTCTGAACAATAATACCTAAAAGCAATCTGTACATACTGTCATCTTCTACAGATAAAAAGGAACGAGTACTCAGTTTAGAGCTCAAATTGTAATTTAGAAGCAAGAAGTCACTTAGCTTTAAAGTAGAATTTCTGCAAGGGGGAATAACAACAGCAGTCTGGGCAGTGTTTCAGCTTAAACATAAGAGCCTGCCAGGTGCAATGGACCACATCCTTTGCTAAAAATAATCCAACTGCAAACTATTTTAAGTTTGAGAATTTACTATCGCAATTAGTTTTACTCTTTTAAGGACTTCTGAGAGGACTTTTAACAATATGAAATGCTTGGAGAAATGTATTTTTGGAAGACAAAAAACCCAGAATCATTGAACTGGAAGGGACTAAAAGGGCCATCTAGTCCAACCCCATTCTGCTAGGCAGGAAGACACAATCAAAGCAGCCCTGACAGATGACCACCCAGCCTCTGCTTCAATACCACCCGAGAGCAAAAGTTTTGGATGACTATGTATTGTCAAAGGCTTTCATGGCCGGAATCACTGGGTTGTTGTGAATTTTCCGGACTGTATGGCCATGTTCCAGATGAATTCTCTCCTGATGTTTTACCTGTATCTATGGCAGTCACAGACCTCACAACTTCTGAGGATGCCTGCTATAATAATCAGCACCGCAGCTCAACCAAATTATAACGAGGCACACCTCCACTACAGACTAGCTCACCAAACGATAGAGCTCCCGAAAAATAGAGGGAGAATATTTGTTGAATCAACTAAATATTTAGAAGCTAGGAACTATGGCCCATTGGAACTGAAAGGCTTAAAATTATTCTTTAGTAGATTTTCGCTGCTACCAAACTGACTGTGAGAGCAGTTCAGCAGTGGAACTCTCTGCCCCGGAGTGTGGTGGAGGCTCCTTCTTTGGAAGCTTTTAAACAGAGGCTGTATGGCCAGCTGTCAGGGGTGATTTGAATGCAATATTCCTGCTTCTTGGCAGGGGACTGGATGGCAACATGAGGTCTCTTCCAACTCTTTGATTCTATGATTCTAATATACAGCCAGTTCATAATCCGATCTAATCTGGCATTGCCTAATTTGGTTGGAATTTGATGAAAAGTTTATGTTGTTGGATCCTGATTTTCTTTTTCCATTCTCTGATCCATTCAACTGATCAGAGAATGACACGGCTCAAGCTATGCATAAATGCCTCTCCACTACAGTCACAAATTTTATAGATCTCAACTTCAAGAAAATCCTTATTTGGAATTATGATAAATTTATAGTAATGTATATGTAGAGACATATTTCACTTCCCTTTATTTTTTTCCTTACTTACTTTACTTTTAAAAAATCCAACTAAAAAGGTAAATATTTACCTTCGGCATTTACAACAATAGTTCCAATCACTCCTTTATGTGATTGAATCCTCTTCAGTGTTTCCTCTACTTCTGCCTGCAAGAGAAACATATTTACTCAAATGCAATGTATTGAAACCAGCATGTCTGTCACAGTTCATTCATTCCTCTTCTGGATTTGGTCTATAGAGCCAGAACATGGAGCTAGGTAACAAACAGCATCAAGAAGCAATTTCACGGAAAATATAATGGTTTGGGTCCTGCTTTCCAGTGAACAGTCTGGATTTATTTCCTGTAGTATGGATTGGTTGGATCTTCTTGCGGTCCAAGGCACTCTCAGCATTTTCCTCCAACACCACAGTTCAAAAGCGTATCTCTTCCTTGGCTCAGCCTTCCTTATGGTCCAACTATCACATCCATAGGTTACTACGGGGAATATCATTGCTTTAACTATGCAGATCTTCGTTCCCAGTGTAATGTCTCTACTCTTAACTATTTTATCAAGATTGGTCATTGCTCTCCTCTCAAGAGGGAAATATCTTCTGATTTCCTGGCTGCAGTCTGTGTCTGCAGCCATCTTCACACCTAGAAATACAAAGTCTGTCACTGCCTCCACATTTTCTCCCTCTATTTGCTAGTTCTCAATCAGTCTGGTTGTCATCATCTTTTTTATGTTTAACCGCAACCTAACTTTTGCACTTTCATCTTTCACCTTGGTTAGAAAGCTCCTCCTTGCTTTCAGCCATCAAAGTGGTATCATCTGCATATCTGAGGTTGTTAATGTTTCATCCAGCAATTTTAACTCCAGCCTTGGATTCATCAATCCATGCACGTCGCATTATGAGTTCTACATACAAGTTGAATAGGTCGGGGGAGAGTATACAGCCCTGCCATACTCCTTTCCCAATCTTGAACCAGTCTGTTGTTCTTTGGTTTGTTCTTACTGTTGCTATTTGGTCATTATACAGATTCTTCAAGAGACAGACAAGGTGGCTTGGTCTTCCCATATCACCAAGAACTTGCCACAATTTATTATGATCCACACAGTCAAAGGCTTTAGAATAGTCAATAAAACAGAAATAGATGGTTTTCTGAAACTCCTTGCCTTCCTCCATTGTCCAGTGGATGTTAGCAATTTGGTCTCTCTTTCCTCTGCCTTTTCTAAACCCAGCTTGTACATCTAGCAACTCTCCCTCCATGTACTGCTGGAGTCTACCTTGCAGGATCTTGAGCTTTACCCTAACATATCTCCCAAAACCCAACCTTGATTTTGCAAATTTGATAGAAGGGACACCATTTTACTCTGGGGTTTGAGACCAAGGGCCCATTAAACATATTTATTTATTTACCACATTTATAGGCCACCCTTCTCACCCTGAAGGGGACTCAGAGTGACTTACAAGTTATATGTAAATACAATATATTATATTATTAGCATAGCACAATATTAGTACTAAATGTTCCCATATAGAACTATACCACTATACTGTGATATTATTAGTAATAACATGTAATATAAAATAATTAATTATTATATTGTCGAAGGCTTTCATGGCTGGAATCACTAGGTTCTTGTGGGTTTTTTTCGGGCTATAGAGCCATGTTCTAGAGGCATTTCTCCTGACGTTTTGCCTGCATCTATGGCAAGCATCCTCATAAACCCATTGTCCTAATTCCAACAGACCTCACACCTCTGAGGATGCTTGCCATAGATGCAGGCGAAACGTCAGGAGAAATGCCTCTAGAACATGGCTCTATAGCCCGAAAAAAACTCACAAGAACCTAATTATTATATTGTATTATTATCAGTATTATATTGTATTACATTATATTATTATCAATATTATATGTGTATACAATATATTATATTATTAGCACAGCACAAACGGTTTGGCCCAGACTACCTGTCCGGACGTATCTCCTGGTACGAACCATCATGAAACTTAAGATCATCTGGAGAGGCCCTGCTCTCGACACTACCGACATCCCAAAAGCGATTGGTGGGGACGAGGGACAGGGCCTTCTCATCAGTGGCCCCTCCCTTGCCTATGTCTAGAGGATCAAGTCCAGCGTGACCAGAAGTCATCATGGCTGGTGGCTCTGAATAATGAGTTTGCTGAAATCGGCCTGCCTTTGCAATTTCTGAACAATCTAGGACCTAAGGCAAAACTAGTGCTCATGCAGCGCACTTGGGATGACTATGCTCAGCTGGAGCATAGGTAGGTCTTCTACCACAAGGTTTTTAGCTTCCTACAAAAGGAATATTCATTTAGAACACTATCTAAATATTCCACTTCCTCTACCCTTAAGAAGAATATATACAAGGGCTAGGTTTGAACAACTCGGTATTATGATGCAAACCGGATGCTACTGTAACACCCTAAGAAGTGAGAGATTCTGCATATGGGGAGAACAAACTGGGGAAGATATTGAACATTTCTTAATTGACTGTCCAGCACACACTGAACTGCGAGACAGATATTTACATCCAATATTATCCAACTGCAGGTCCCCCAACAAAAATGCTCTTCTGACATTCCTCTTGCAAGGACAGGAAAGATCCATCATAATCAGAGTAAGCCTTTTTATTCTGAAAGCTATCAAGAAAAGAGCAGATTTCCTGAAAGAACCAGGAAAATAAGACTCTGACTGTAAATAGAAGGTCAGCTGCTTTCCTCCTTTTTGCCTTGTTTTTTACTTGTGTTCCCATTTGAAATGGTCATATGACTCGTCAAATAAATAAATTATTTTACTGACACAAAAACACAGTATGACACAGCAAACGAGATCTATATGCTGGATTTCATATCACAAAATCACAAGTCGAACACTTCCCAAGCGTCTAGGACTACAACACTGCCTACGTGGACTTTGGAACCTCGCAACTTTGGACTTGGCTTACTTCGACCTCGGACTTCGTTTGACCACGTCGTCTTCTTTGCGGTTCTTTGTTTGTTCACCCTTTACTTGCTGTGTTATTTTGCATGACTTTTGAAGCGCTTTAAATTTAATCCAGATCTTTTATTTATTTATTTATTTATTTATTTATTTATTTATTTACTGCACTTGTAGACCGCCGTTCTCAGCCCTAGGGCGACTCACGGCGGTGTACAACATATAAAATCAGGAACAATTACAACATAAGCAATATCACAACAACAATAAACAACATCACTATCCATAATACAATTACACTAAATCATTCGCGACGTCTCATCATTGAATCACAATCCAAATCTCGTTATCCATGTTCCGTTCCATTCGTCATTGCCAATTGTTACAGCACTTACTCAAACGCCTTCTCAAACAACCACGTCTTTAATCTCTTGCGGAATGTCATAAGGGAGGGCGCCAGTCTGATGTCCACAGGGAGGGTGTTCCACAGGGTGTTCTTTTCTCCAGATAATCCGGATTATTGCTTCAGATTACCTTTTGAACTGGAACTGATTGCTACTTTTGAGTTTTGTCTCTGAGTCCCTTTTGCTTTGTGTTAATAAACTCTACTTTTGGACATACTCTTGAGTCTGGCTCTTTAAGGCGTCTGGGTTCCGACATGAGAAGGGCGGAGTATAAATATAGGAAATAAATAAATAAATATTGTACTACACTATACTGTAATATTATTAGTAATATCACATGTAATATAAAATATATAACTCTTATATTGTATTATTATTAGTATTATATTGCCTGACTGCTGTGATGGTCCAGATGAGGACGAATAAGCGGAGGATCAATCCTGACAAGACAGAGGTCCTCCAGGTCAATTGTAGGCCGGATCGAGGTATAGGGTGGCAACGTGTGCTTGAAGGGGTTGCACTCCCCCTGAAGTCACAGGTCCGCAGCTTGGGTGTTTTCCTAGATTCAGCGCTAACGCTTGAAGCTCAGGTGTTGGCAGTGGCTGGGAGGGCCTTTGCACAATTGAAGCTCATGCGCCAGCTGCGACCGTACCTTGTGAAGTCGGATTTGGCCACAGTGATCCACGCCTTAGTTACCTCTAGATTAGACTATTGCAATGCGCTTTAGGTGGGGCTGCCCGGAAATTTCAACTGATCCAACAAGCGGCAGCCAGACTACTAACTGGTGCGAGCTACAGGGAGCGGTCAACCCCCGTTTAAGGAGCTCCACTGGCCGCCATTTATTTTCCGGGACCAATTCAAGGTGCAGGTTTTGACCTACAAAGCCCTAAATGGTTTGGGACCGCCTACCTGCACAACCGCATATCCATCTACGAACCCACGCGACCTCTTTGATTTTCCGGATAGGTCCTTCTCTCGCTCCCGCCTTCATCGCAAGTGCCTTCTCTGTGGTGGCCCCTCGGTTCTGAAATTCGCTCCCCAGAGATATTAGGCAAGCCTCCACCCTGGAAATCTTTAGGAGGCTGAAAACTTGGCTGTTCCAATGTGCTGCCTCGAGTCCCCTTTGGGGAGATGGTGGCGAGGTATAAATAAAGTTTATTATTATTATTGACACAAAAGCACATTATGTCACAGCAAACGAGATCTATATGCTGGATTTCATATCACAAAATCACAAGTCAAACACTTCCCAAGCGTTTAGGACAGTGTGATGTATTTTTGAATGATGCGTGCAGATCCAAGTTAGGTGGCCTTTTGCAGTTGACAGTTCGTGATTTTCTCAATGTTTGTTTCCAAATGCCGGCTGAGATCTTTTGGCACGGCACCCAGTACGCCAATGACCACTGAGACCCCCTGTACTGGTTTATGCCAGAGCCTTTGCAGTTCGATTTTGAGGTCTTGATAGCGGCTGAGTTTTTCCTGTTGTTTTTCCTCAATGCGACTGTCACCCGGTATGGTGACATCAATAATCCAGACTTTTTTTCTTTTCCACAATCGTGATGTCTGGTGTATAGTGTTTCAAAACTTTGTCAGTCTGGATTCGAAAGTCCCACAGTATTTTTGCATGTTCTTTTTCCATAACCTTTGTGGATTTATGATCCCACCAATTCTTTACTGCTGGCAGGTGGTACTTGTGACATAAGTTTGGGCCACAGAGGTGTGCCTCTGTTTGTAGTCCGTTTGTGTGATTTTCTTGCAGCAGCTGAGGATATGATCAATGCTTTCCTCAGTTTCCTTGCCCAGTCTGCATTTTGGGTCATCCGCTGATTTTTCAATCCTGGCCTTAATGGCCTTGGTTCTGATGGCTTGCTCCTGGGCTGCAAGAATCAGGCCGCCTTCTGTCTCCTTCTTCAGGGTTCCATTCGTGAGCCATAACCAGGTCTTCTCCTTGTCAACTTTTCCTTCAATCTTCTCAAGGAACTGCCCATGCAATGCTTTGTTGTGCCAGCTGTCAGCTCTAGTTTGGAGTGCAGATTTCTTGTACTGACTCTTTGTCTGCTGTGCTTTGAGAAGTTTCCGATTATTGACTTCAATTAAAGCAGGTTCTTGGCTTTCCTTGACATATTATGCCAGGTCATGTTTTTCTTCTTCAACTGCTTTTTTTGACTTGTAAAAGTCCTCTGCCCCCATACCTTCTAGGCAGATAGAGCCGGTCAACATCACTGCGAGGATGAATGGTCATGAGTTTTCTTGTTTTTCTGTCTAAATTGTCCAGTTCTGCCTGTGTCCAGTTTATGATGCACAGTTTATGTGTCCAGTTTATGATTATTATATTGTATTACATTATATTGTATTACAATATATATATATAGATAGATATATTAGATATTGCTTTCAACCCAGATTACACTAATGGCAACCTGCGAGCAAGAAACAGTCTATCAGGAGAATTCCCACTGCAGATCAGTGCTATAGAACTCTTTTGACAAGAGAAGGCCCGACGCCTCTCTGAAATCACTGTTATCCCTGAGCCACGGCTAGAATTCTACTGGAAGGGCCAAACCAGAGCCTTTCCTTGCGGTTTCCCTCCCTCCCCCTCCCGACTCTCCCCTTCTCCCTGAAGACGAGGGAAAGGACTGGGCAGGCCGTCACCCTCCCCGCTGCTTCCTTTACCTACCATTGGCCCCGCCGCCTAGGAGGCTTCAACCACCGCGTCGCTCGGAGAGGCCTCGGTTGCTATGGAGCTCCCGCCGGAAGTGCTGGGGGCAAGACTGACAGGCGAGGCAGCGGAAGTGGCGAACGCGCTCGCCCCTCCCCTCTCGCTTCGGAGCCAGTCCTGAACGTTCGGCCGGTTTGGGACTTCAACTCCCAGAAGGCCAAGCCGAAGCGGCCAACGCTCGGGGATTCTGGGAGTTGAAGTCCAAAACCTCCAGAAAAACCCAAGCGTGGGAGAACGCAGTTTGGGTGTTAGAATCTTGAGACAGTAGGCTGATTGGGAAATAAATGAATAATATATAGTAATTGTATTTTATATATGATAGAATATTAATAATATATAACAATTATATAACAATTATATATATATATTATTGTATATTATTATTAAAATATTATTATATATAATTATATATATATATATAACATAATAATATATAATAATATATTATAATTATATAATTATATATAATATATATAATTATATAATATATATATATACTTATATATATAACATATAATATTAATAATATATAACAATTATATAGTAAATATAATAATATATAATATTGTATATTATATTTTACATAGAATATTAATAATAGTATTGCAGCATAGTAAATAAATAAAGTGTTATTATTATAGTGATATAGTACAATATAATAATGTTGTTGTTCATTCGTTCAGTTGTCTCCGACTCTTCGTGACCTCATGGACCAGCCCACGCCAGAGCTCCCTGTCGGCCGTCACCACCCCCAGCTCCCTCAAGGTCAGTCCAGTCACTTCAAGGATGCCATCCATCCATCTTGCCCTTGGTCAGCCCCTCTTCCTTTTCCTTCCACTTTCCCCAGCATAATTGTCTTCTCTAGGCTTTCCTGTCTCCTCATGATGTGGCCAAAGTACTTCAACTTTGTCTCTAGTGGTATAGTACAGTACAATAATATATAATACTGATATTGTGCTATGGTAATAATATTATATATACACACACACACACACACACACACACTAATAGTACAATATAATACAATATAATGCTAATAATAATACAATATAATATATAATACTAATATTATGCTATGCTAGTTATATATATATATATATATATATATATACACGTAATAATAATCATATAATGTTATACAATATAATAATAATCTTGTAATATAATAGTACTAGTATATTAAATATAATACTACTGAAAATGTATAATGATAATACAATTTTATTGTTGTATATTTGAAGTTGTAATGTTTTTAATTGTGATCCGCTTTGAGTCTCCGTATGTAGAGATAAAGCAGGATATAAAATAAATACATAAATAAATAAAATTCGTTTATTCACACAAAAACATTTAAAATTTTAGTCTTCTTGGAAATGATGCTTCTACAGCAGACATGGGCAAACCTTGGCTCTCCAGGTGTTTTGGACTTCAACTCCCACAATTCATAACAGCCTACTATTAGGAATTAAGCACCTGGAGGGACGAAGTTTGCCCATGCCTGCTCTACAGAGTGGAAATATTTTATAATACTACAATATATACAGTTGTATGTGGGTGCGTCTACACTGGAGAATTAATGCGATTTAACACCGCCATAAAATCTTACTTTTGTAGTTTTACAAGGTCCCTTTAGCCTCCGCTGCCAAAGAGTATGGTTCCTTTTCAAAACTACAACTCCCAGGATTTCATCACGGTGAGATGAGACAGAGCTGTTCAAGTGGTATCAATCTGCATTAGCTGGACAGTGTAGATGCGTCCGGAAGGTTTAAAACTGGCATCTCCCATTGAGCCCAATGCTCCTCGTTGGATTTTCAAAAATTAATTTAGGATTTGTGAACTAAGGATAATATGAAAAATAGATTATGTATAAGTAAACTGATAAAATAATTAGAGGGAACGCTGATTATACAGTCTCAGAGGCGAAAATAAAAAAAAGATGGGAGATATTTTTTTTCGTGTCAGGAGTGACTTGAGAAACAGCAAGTCGTTTCTGGTGTGAGAGAACTGGCCGTCTGCAAGGACGTTGCCCAGGGGGTATCCGGATGTTTGATGTTTTATCATCCTTGTGGGAGGCTTCTCTCATGTCCTCGCATGGGGAGCTGGAGCTGACAGAGGGAGCTCATTCATCCATGTTCTCCCTAGATTTGAACCACTGACGTATCGGTCAGCAGTCATGCCAGCACAAGGGTCCAACCCATTGTGCCACCGGAGAATGCAAGAAGGCAGGACTTATGCAAACACCCCATGATAAGGATCGACTTGCTTTTGGAATTGGAGATATTGCTGATGGAATTTCTTTATATGTTAGAATATATGTATAACAATTCCCTCCCTTTTCACATCCCCAGTAATGCAATAGGCTCCTGTGTAGATTTAATTTACTAACAAAACTTCGTAACCTATATATGATATTTTTCTTTATCTCCCATCCTTCTCTCTCTCTCTCTCTCCCCCCCCCCCCCACCCCCCATGCTACATGGATTATATGGCAGTGTGGACTGAGATGACCCAGTTCAAAGCAGAGGTTTAGCACAGCTGGCAAATCATCAGCAATAATAAGATCTATCAACCTAAAGGTTGCAAGTTTGAATCCCCGTGTTGGCGTGAGCTGCCAACTGCCAGCCTAGCTCATTGTTTACCTTGTTGTTCATTCGTTCAGTCGTCTTCTTCGTGACCTCATGGACCTGCCCACGCCAGAGCTCCCTGTCGGCCGTCACCACCCCCAGCTCCTTCAAGGTCAGTCCAGTCACTTCAAGCATGCCATCCATCCATCTTGCCCTTGGTCGGCCCCTCTTCCTTTTGCCTTCCACTTTCCCCAGCATAATTGTCTTCTCTAGGCTTTCCTGTCTCCTCATGATGTGGCCAAAGTACTTCAACTTTGTCTCTAGTATCTTTCCCTCAAATGAGCAGTCGGGCTTTATTTCCTGGAGGATGGACTGGTTGGATCTTCTCGCAGTCCAAGGCACTCTCAGCACTTTCCTCCAACACCACAGTTCAAAAGCATCGATCTTCCTTCGCTCAGCCTTCCCTAAGGTCCAGCTCTCACATCCGTAGGTGACTACAGGGAATACCATGGCTTTGATTAGGCGGATCTTTGTTGTCAGTCTGATGTCTCTACTCTTCACTATTTTATCGAGACTGGACATTGCTCTCCTCCCAAGAAGTAAGCGTCTTCTGATTTCCTGGCTACAGTCTGCATCTGCAGTAATCTTTGCACCTAGAAATACAAAGTCTGTCACGGCCTCCACGGTTTCTCCCTCTATTTTCCAGTTGTCAATCATTCTTGTTGCCATAATCTTGGTTTTTTTGATGTTTAGCTGCAACCCGGCTTTTGCGCTTTCTTCTTTCACCTTGATTAGAAGGCTCCTCAGCTCCTCGCTTTCGGCCATCAGGGTGGTGTCATCTGCATATCTGAGGTTGTTAATGTTTCTTCCAGCAATTTTCACCCCAGCCTTGCATTCATCAAGCCCCGCACATCGCATGATGTGTTCTGCATACAAGTTAAAAAGGTTGGGTGAGAGGATGCAGCCTTGCCGTACGCCTTTCCCAATCTTGAACCAGTCTGTTGTTCCATGGTCAGTTCTTACTGTTGCTACTTGGTCCTTGTACAGATTCCTCAGGAGAGAGACAAGGTGGCTTGGGATGCCCATACCACTAAGAACTTGCCACAATTTATTATGATCCACACAGTCAAAGGCTTTAGAATAGTCAATGAAGCAGAAGTAGATGTTTTTCTGAAACTCCCTGCCTTTCTCCATTATCCAGCGGATATTGGCAATCTGGTCTCTTGTTCCTCTGCCTTTTCTAAACCCAGCTTCAACATCTGGCAACTCTCGCTCCATGTATTGCTGGAGTCTTCCTTGCAGGATCTTGAGCATTACCTTACTGGCATGAGAAATAAGGGCCACTGTACGGAAGTTTGAGCAGTCTTTCGCATTTCCCTTTTTTGGTATGGGGATATAAGTTGATTTTTTCCAGTCTGATGGCCATTCTTGTGTTTTCCATATTTGCTGGCAAATGGCATGCATCACCTTGACAGCATCATCTTTTAAGATTTTAAACAGTTCAGCTGGGATCCCGTCGTCTCCTGCTGCCTTGTTGTTAGCAATGCTTCTTAAGGCCCAATCAACCTCACTCCTCAGGATGTCTGGTTCTAATTCATTCACCACACCGTCAAAACTATCCTCAATATTATTATCCTTCCTATACAGATCTTTTGTATAGTCTCGCCAACATCCAATTTGCCCTGGCTCATAGATCTTACATTCCAGGTTCCTATGGTGTGTTGATCTTTAGAGCATCGGATTAGTCGTTCGCCTCCAGTACCGTCGGCCGCTAGCCTTCCTTTCGGCTTTGAGCTAGCTGCGTCATCACATCTGGGGCTAGTTGAACTTATCCTCTGCTCCTCCCCAGTAGCATTTTGGCCATCTTCCGACCTGGGAGTCCCATCTTCCAATGGCATACCGACATATCTCTGGTTGTACTGGTCCATTTAGTTTTCTTGGCAAGGATACTGGGGTGGTTTGCCGTTGCCTTCCCCAGGGATCACGCTTGGTCTGACCTCTCTGCCACAGACCGTCCCGTCTTGGGTGGCCCTTCACGGTTTCGCTCATGACATCATTGAGGTGCTCAAGCTCCAGCGCCCCGACAAGGCGGTGATCCTTTGCTGGAGATTGTTTACCTAGGCCATTCCAAAACGGCTTTAGCTGTGATTAGAGAAATTAGGTGCTGCTAAAAAGCAGGGGAGGTGTTTTACGACGCCATAAGGAAAGAAGATTAGGAAATGCTGGGCAACCAAAAGGAAGGAGGAAGTCTTGACGGCTCTTAGTCATAGAGGATAGAGCAACAGCACCCTCTGGACTCGAGCCCAACCTTCCATGGCACCTCCTCCTCTTCTGTCTGTCTGTGTATTGTCTATACAAAGCGACATTGAATGTTTGCAACCAGTTCCAGTTCAAAAGGTAAATTTAAGCAATAATCTGGATTATCCAGAGAAAAGATCCGGATTAAAACAAAGCGCTCCAAAAGTCACACAAAATAGCACAGCAAGTAAAGGGTTAACAA